AGAGAGAGAGAGAGAGCGCGATCCAGCTGCTCGGGCTTCAGCGGGGCTCAGGATGGTGGACTACGCAGGGAGCGGGGGTGTCTTGTCAGCGCCACTTCTGACGTGGAGCCGAGAGGAGCCCGAGCTCGGGACAGGTGCTGGGAGCTGGCTGCGTGCCCAGCCCCGCCCTAGGCGGGACCAGCCGTGGGACAGGAACTGCCAGCGCTCAGGCCGGAAAGTTAATATTTGTGCCGGCGCCGCAGGGACAGACGGGCTCCTGGGACACACGAGCAGCAGGCGTCCCACCGCGGGTCCCACAGCCGCTCCCATGCCTAGTCCCTCCTTTCTCTCGCGGCGCCCGCCGCCGCTGTTACTGCTGCTGCTGTCGCCGTGGCCAATCTGGGCCCAAGCACCCGCCGCAGCCACCCCCACGGGAACCCCGGGAGCCCTGGACTGCCCCGAGGCGTGCGCGTGCGCGCCGGGCGGCCAGGCCAACTGCTCGGAGCGCGCGCTGTCCGCGGTGCCGGCGGGCCTGAATCGGCGCGTGCGCGCGCTGCTGCTGGACCACAACCACGTGCGCGCGCTGCCTCCCGGAGCCTTCGCGGGCGCTGGCGCGCTGCGGCGCCTGGACCTGCGCGAGAATGGGCTGCGCTGGGTGCACGCGAGGGCTTTCTGGGGCCTGGGCGCGCTGCAGCAGCTCGACCTCAGCTTCAACCAGCTGGAGGCGCTGGCGCCTGGTACCTTCGCGTCAATGCGCGCGCTGCGCGCCCTCTCGCTAGCCAACAACCGGCTGGCTCTCCTGGAGCCCGCGGCGGTGGGCGCACTCCCGCTGCTGCACGCGCTCAGCCTGCAGGACAACGAGCTGTCTGCGCTCGCGCCCAACGTGTTGGCCGGCCTGCCCGCTCTCAACGTGCTGCGCCTGCGCGGCAACCCCTGGGCCTGCGGCTGCTCTCTGCGCCCGCTCTGCGCCTGGCTGCGTGGGCACCCGCGGCCAGCGCCAGGTGAGCCCTCGGGGCGCAGGCGGGCCAGGGAGGTCACTGCAGCTACCCCGCCAGTGCTTAACGCCGCGCCCATGTCCCGCAGAAGCCGAGACGTTGCTCTGCGTGTCGCCGGGGCGCCTGACGCTCAGCCCCTTGACCGCCTTCTCCGACGCCGCCTTCAGCCACTGCGTGCAGCCACTCGCCCCGCGGGACCTGGCCGTGATCTACGCTCTCGGGCCGGTCTCCTTCCTCATCAGTCTGGCCACCTGCCTGGCGCTGGGCTTCGTGTTGACTGCCTGCCGCACGCGCCGCCGGTGCTGCACCGCCGCCCGCCGCCCGCCGAGGCGACCTCTGAATTCCGGTGCCGGCTGGGCCTCCTCGCCTGCAGACCCTGGGAGCCCCGCTGCCGCCGCCCAAGTCTGAGAGGGCCGTGGCCGCCCTCCGATCTTTCCCCTATCCCCTGCCCTTCTTCACACTCCCTGCAGGCGTCAACAAGCGACACAGACCAAATATTTCGTGACATTTTTTTAGGCATCACCACTGCACACACCGGGTCAGGGGAACGGTGCGGTGCGCGCCAGGTCCCTGGGGCGCAGGGTCAGCGCGCGGCTGCGCATGGGCCGCAGGGGAAGGCACGGGCTCGGACACGGGAAGGGCTGGGCCTGTACAAGGTGGCGGGCAGGGCTGAGGACAGTCCCGAGCCAGCGATTGGGGAAGCCCATCTTGGGCTGCATGCCGGAGGAGGCGAAGAGAAGGCTCAGTCCTCTTGGAGTCTGGAGGAGAAGGCTGGAGGCAGCGAGGAGGCTGAGCAAGCCTATGGGAAGCCGCTGCCAGCTGGGAGTCAGGGCCTGCCCTCGGGGAAGGGCAGAGCCAGTTCAGAGAATGGGGTCAAGCGGAGGAAGGGGAGGGTGAGAAGAGGAGCGGGAGCGGAGCCGAGGCTGCGAGGAGTGGGCGCTGCAGCAGGGGGTGACCCAGCCAGCTGGGGCCACAGGCCCCCACCGTGGCTCTGGTGGTGGCTGGGGGAGGATGGGGCTTCGGTCTCTGCTCCGAGCCCCTCTGCCTGGGGCCAGGTTAGCCCCTCCCCCCACTGCTCAGAGACCCCCAGGGCCCTGCCTCTGCCGGAGCGCCCTGCGGCCCTGCCCAGCCAGCTCAGCTCTGGCCCGTCCTCAGCCGCTCTGGTCCGCGCCTCGGTCCAACAGGGGCTGCCCGCCAGGCAGCAGGGCGGGCGGATGGACGGGAGGCCCAGGGTGGGCAGTCTCGGGCGGGTGGGCTTCCCTCAGGCCTTCCCGAGCAGCAGGACCCATCAGTGTCCTTGGCCGGGCTAACTGGGCAGGTGGGCGCCTCCGGGGGGCCTCACACCACGGTGCTGACCGAGGGATCTGAGAGGTTGAGCGGGCCCGTGATATCAGTGGGATGGTACTGCTGCAAAATAGAAATACACAGACAAGGCGCCCATTAGCCCGACGCTCAGGGGCACGTGCGGGGCCTGGACGGGTGGGCCGGCCGGCCACCGACCGGCGGGCGGGCGGGCGCGGCCTGGGGGAGGCTGGGGGGCGCTCCTCCCCCGACCCCGTCGTGCTCCGGGGCTCTGCGTGGGCCGGGCCGCTGTCCCGTCCGTCTGTCTGTCTGTCTGCGGGGGAGGGGGGCGGGGCTTCTCAGCTCTCCCTATGACGGGCACACATCTGCAGCTGGCCCTCCTCCCTCTCAATAGCGCGTCGCGGCAGCACCGTGTCTTTTTGGTTTTGCAAAGCGCCGCGTCCACCCCCGGTGCTCTATAAATAAGAACCAACAATCAATACCCGCTGGCCCCGCCGGCCGCCAGGGACCCCAGCCCTGAGCGCCCAGTGCCACCCTGGCCCTGACCGGCCGCAGGACAGGGGCAGAGGATCTCAGCCGCGGGACCGACCCCACCCACCCCGACAGAGCCCCCCCACCCAGGCCTCCCTCCAAGCAGGTGCCCAGCCCGCCCCCAGCCGGCAGGGCCCCCAGTCACCCCTGCAGGGAAGGGTCAGTCCCAGATGCCACAGGGGGCCATGGCTGGCCTGGAAGATGGTCCCTGGTGCCCAGGGAGGCTCTCATAAGGCCTCCGCTGGGAGTGTGTCCCCCGACAGGCACTGCGAGGGTCTCTGAGATGCACCTGGACTGGCTAATGGGCATGCGTGTCTGCTCTGGCCGGGATCAGGGGATAACAGGACTCAGTGACATCCTCAGAAAGTGACCCATTGCCTGTGGGACTTCTGTGCTCCTCCTTTCAGCTGCCTTCCTCAGCGGCTGTCTGTTGGGAATACCCCCTACCCAGGACTGCCCCAGTCCTACTACTCTCTGGTCCTTCACTCTTAACCTCCTCTTTCTGCACCCATTGTGGGGGCCCCTGGCTCAGACTCTGCCCACTTTCCCGGGCTTGGGTGGCCCCGCTGTGCTCCAGTCCCACGGACCCTCACTGTCCACCCAACATCCCTGTGCCCAGCCCCTCTTGGGAAGCAGAGCGGCCAGGCCTCACGGGCTCCTTTTGGTGCACCCTGGCGGCTTCACCTTGAATTCAGATCACTCTGTGCCAAGCCCTCTGTCCTGGAGGTTTGCCCCTCTTCCCATGCTTGGGGGTGTGAGTGGGGGTATGTGCAAATCCACTTCTTCCTCGGAGCGTAATTCCTGTGGGCTCTTGGCCAAACCCACCCTGGACTGTAGGAAGTCCGCTGGGCCGATGGCTGTGCTGGCTCTGGGTGGCCCTCTCCCCATCTGAAACTGGGGTGCCCCTAGCAAGACTGGGTCCATCATGGGGGCTTTTGGTCTGAGTGTGCACATCTTGTGCGGTGTCAAGCTGCCCAAGGCAGGAGGGCAGGGAATTCTGGGCTCAGGCAGGACCGGCCCTGACGTGGTCCTGTGGGGCAGGGCTGGGGGTCAGGAGCTGAGGTGCTGGTCTCCTCCATGGAGGACTCCCTTCCTGGGCCTCTGTCTGGGAGCCTCTGTGTCCCCACACTCGGCAGGCCACTGCTTTCAGGGCCACTCCCCCCGGGGCTGCTGGCACACTTCCTGCAGGGCCCCTGCTTAGCTTAGGGTGGGAGCCACCCCCTCTGATCCCATCCACTCCCCCCACCTGATGGTCCCCTGTGGCTGGGGGCCTGTTCCAACTCTAGGCCCCTGCTGTCCACCCAGATGGAGCCAGGCCCGGCCCCCAGCCCCGGCCCACACAGAGACCACATGGAGGGGATGCAACGGGCATGGCTCTGGTGAGACACGAGACACAGGTGTCTGGGTGGCGGGGCCAGCAGCCAGACATATGGACGGATGGGACATCACAACCACCCCTCCATGGACGTCAAGGGGAGGGAGAGGGCGGCGGGCCCCTCTGGGATAGGCTGAGAAACTGACATGACAGAGAGGTGGTGTGGCCTCCCATGCGTGAGGAGCCCACGACAGGGCGGCTCTGGGCTCCCAGGGGCCCCGGGCATGGCCCTGAGGTGGTGAGGCTGACTGGCTGACCAACAACATGACACAGCTTCAAGATGGCGCATGGCGTCATGGCATGGGGGGCAGACTAACGCAGAGACACACGGGGAAAGAAGACCCAGTGAGGGCCAGCGGGAGAGAGGACCGAGAGAGAGAGGCCTGGAGAGTCAGAGAGAGAAGACCTAGTGTGCTGGGCAAATAGAGATGAGGGCAGAAGGCCACAGCTGTCAGAGATGGGGGTGGGGTGGGATGACGAGGGACGGGGAGAGGGCACGCCTGATGCACGGGACACAGACACGGAGGGGCAGGGCGAGATAAGAGTCGGAGACGGGGGACTGGGCGTTCTTCCCCTTACCGTGTCTTTGGAGGACCTACGTCTCTTGAAGCTGGAAGCCAGGGTGGAGGTGATAGCCCTAAATGTGGCTTTCTTTTTAGGGTCGGGCTCTGCTCTACCACTCTTTCTATCCTAAAATGAATATGTATAAGTGATTAGATGGCTAAGGGTGGCGGCCGCACCTGCCCTCGCCTGCTCCTTGGGGGCCGCTGCCCGGCCTGGCTGGCCACTCGGGCCCTTGCTCCTGACTGTCTCCCTGTGCTGGACCGATGGACCGACAGCCAGACACGCGCAGATGGCCTCTGCTCCTGCCCGGGTCGGGCCTGACCTTGCTCGAGCTGGGGCTGGGCTTGGGGGTGCCGTCTGGCTCTCTTCCTGGAAAGTCCGCCTGGCTCCCTGGCTCCTGGGTGGCCCTGGTTTACAGGTGTCCCAAGGAGGAGGGACTCTCGGAGCACTGGAGGAGTTCCTCCTCAGGCCCTCCAGCCACTCTGACCCCTGAGGGGGCACACCAAGATTCAGGAAGGGGAAAAGGCAGGTGTTGAGATGAATTGGAGCGGTAGACAGAGGCAGCTCCCGGGACCCTGGCCTTGAGTCTGATGGCCAGGATGGCCCTGTGCCTACCATTGAGAGCAGTGACCAGGTCCCAAGAGCAAGAGTGGGCAGATGAGAGGTGTGGGGGCTCCAACAATCCATCCACCCATGGCCCTCCCTCTCTGCAAAGTCAGCTTCATCCCAGGATGCAGGCTCTGGGGAGGCACCCAGAGAAAGAGAAGAGATGGAGCAAACTGGATTTGGACCATGGGGTAGGAGCCACGGGCCTACACCGGCCCCACTGCCCACCCTGCCCCAGGTGGGCTGTGGCTGCCCCATGTGCAGCTGGTCCCCCTGCTGGCAGCAAATTCCCACAGACACAGCCTGGGGTGCCAGGCAGGGCCAGCTGGACCACTCCAGCCTGGAGTTATAGAGCATAGGATACAGCAGGGCAGCAGGGAAGGGGGCCGGTCCCCCAGAGGGTGCTGAGGAGGGGTGTGGGGCGGCGAGGGCAGAATGTGTCTTGGACTCACGTGCTACACCCAGGTGGGTCCCTGTCTTACCCTGCCTCAGTTTGCCTTCCTACGGAATGGGCGCCGGCGGGCGACTCTGAAGACAGAGGGGCCAGGCGGAGGCTTGGAGCAGGGTGCGTGGCCTCCCTCCGCCTGGCTTTGCAGTGGGCAGCCACCTGCAGGCGGCCCCCCACCAATGCTGCCCTTGGCCATGGCTCCTAGCTCCAGTCCTGCTCACATGGGCTCCGGGAGCCAGGGCCAGCGCTTCTGCCTGTGGGGATGGAGGAGGGGCCCGGGCCAGGTGGGCCATGGGCGCCAGGTCTCGGAAGGTGGCCTGCCCTACCTGCAGGTTCTTTCTCCACACGTTCACTGCCGCAAAGGCCAGCTGCATTTGCTTCCTGCGAGCGTCCTTGTGTCGCTTGTAGGCAATCTCGATGAAGATCAGGAAGATCCCAGCCACGATGCCCCCAGCCACCAGCATGAAGACCCCTGCAGCCAGGACCCAGAGCCTCAGCTGTTGGCTGGAGGGGCTGTGGGGACCCTGGAGAACCCAACCAGTGTCAGCAGGGGCATTAATGGAAGGGGGTGGGGAACCCACCTGCCATGTTCTCGAAGGTGAGAGTAGCAGGAGCATTGCTGCGTGAGTCACACTCCTGGTACCGCACCCACGTCTTGTCCAGGTCTTCCATGAAGCCGTTCTCATGGGACCTGGACAGTCCGTGGTGAGTGAGGGGGTGGTGTCAAGGGGGTCAAGGCCTGGATGGGGCGGGGCGAGGGTTGGGGTGGGGCCTGGGCAGGGCTAGTGAGCAGGACAGGGCCTGTGAATTGGGCGGGGCGAGTGAGCCGGGAGCGGGACCTCGGTGGAGCCTGGCCTAAGAAGAGCGAGTGGATTGGGTGGGAGCGGGTCCTGGGTGGGGCGTGTGAGTGGGGCGGGGCCTGGGCAGGGAGGGGTGGTATCTGCGACGTTGGGGTCATCTGCCTCGGATGGGGAGGCTCTCAAAGAGCAGAGAAGAAGGGCGGTGGTGTGGCAGGTGAGCAGACTCACTTGAGGATGGACAGGGAGACATTCTGCTTCCAGGGGCTGTCCTTGCGCATGCCGATGCCGAAGCCAGAGCGGAAGAACAGCTCGCCCGTAGTCACCAGGTCGCACTTCTGTGAGGCCTCAAACTCCAGCACCGCCGAGTCCCAGATGAAGGCATGCAGTTTGCTGAGGGCAGGGGCAGATGTCAAGGGAGTCCCACCCAATCGGGCTGCCCTTGACCCGCACGCTTGCATTCCTTCATCCTACCATTCAGGAAAACCTCACTTCCATCCCCATCCCGTGGTTCCCATCCAGCCTGGACACTCACTTTTCCTGTAAGGGGAGACGCTCCACCTTGTCCAGCTAGCCCCTCACTCGTCCCGCAGGCCCCGCCCTCGCTCGTCCCGCAGGCCCCGCCCTCACTCGTCCCGCCGGCCCCGCCCTCACTCGTCCCGCAGGCCCCGCCCTCACTTGTCCCGCACAGCCTGGATGGCTTCGGCCGCGCTCTCGTAGTTGTGCTTCTCCATATGCCTGTACATGGTGCTCAGCTCCACCTGCCGCCGGAAGTAGATGTCCACCGAGCTCTGCTTCACCGTCGCGTAGATAAACTTGTCTGAGGGGTTCCTCAGCTGCGGGGTCAGAGGGCGTGGCTCGCAACTACTTCCCGGCCCCACCTGAGGCCGACTCCTGGTGACCTCAGGACCCTCCCCTAACCTGGCCGGGCCTCACCCGCGGGTCGTTGATGCCAGTGATGCGCTCCTCGGGCCGGTCCAGCACCAGGAAGGCTGCCAGGTTGGCTGTGTAGGAGGCCACGATGATCATGGCGAAGCCGGCCCACACCATGCCCAAGATGCGTGCCGAGAAGCTCCGGGGGGCCCCTGCCGGCAGAGGACGGTCAGCTCCCGGCAGATGAGCATGAGCTGACGGGGTGGGGGTGGGCGTGGCGTGGCCTCACCTTCTCCGATGCCTGAGTTGAGCAGGACGCCCCAGGAGAACCACATGGCCGAAGACAGGGTCAGCGCATCCTCTTCCTCCTCCTCACTGTTCACCTTGAACCGGCCGAAGGGGCTGCAGGGTGCAGAGGGCGGGCGGGAGAGGGCGGGCAAGGCAGCCCGCCTCGCCGCTCGCCCGCTCTGCCAGCTTCTCAGGTGGAGGTGTCTGGCCTCCCGGCTGCGCTCACCTGAAGCGGTCCAGCAGGTACAGCATCACGGCCACCACGTGCACCGACAGCCCCACCAGCAGCCACAGCGTGCTCTGGAAGGGCTGCATGAACGAGTCCAGCGTGCTCCGGGGGATCTCCTGCGAGTGGACAGGCCGTCAGCATCGCCTTGGCCCTCCCAGGACGCCACCCACCCCGCCGGGCCCATGCCCACCTTCTTGACCAGAATGGTCAGGCCCTGGTACTTGAAAGGCTTGGAGAATTCGATGTACTGTGCGCGCTCGTTGTTGATGGTCAGCGGCGCCACGATCATGTCCGCTTGCCCGCTGAGCAGCTCGCCCATCATCCCGTTCCACTCCTTCTTATTGCTGTTGTTCACCTGCGGGGTGATACAGCCAGTGGGGACGCGGACACTGTCAGGCCACTCCGCAACAGGCTCCAGCCCCAGCGCGCCTCAGGCGTCACCCTCTCCAGACCCCACCCTAACTTTACAGGCCACGCCCACTCCAGGCTCCGCCCAGCACCAGGCCCCCGCCCACCCAAAGACCCTGCCCCTAGCAAGACTGGGTCCATCATGGGGGCTTTTGGTCTGAGTGTGCACATCTTGTGCGGTGTCAAGNCTGGCTCCCTGGCTCCTGGGTGGCCCTGGTTTACAGGTGTCCCAAGGAGGAGGGACTCTCGGAGCACTGGAGGAGTTCCTCCTCAGGCCCTCCAGCCACTCTGACCCCTGAGGGGGCACACCAAGATTCAGGAAGGGGAAAAGGCAGGTGTTGAGATGAATTGGAGCGGTAGACAGAGGCAGCTCCCGGGACCCTGGCCTTGAGTCTGATGGACAGGATGGCCCTGTGCCTACCATTGAGAGCAGTGACCAGGTCCCAAGAGCAAGAGTGGGCAGATGAGAGGTGTGGGGGCTCCAACAATCCATCCACCCATGGCCCTCCCTCTCTGCAAAGTCAGCTTCATCCCAGGATGCAGGCTCTGGGGAGGCACCCAGAGAAAGAGAAGAGATGGAGCAAACTGGATTTGGACCATGGGGTAGGAGCCACGGGCCTACACCGGCCCCACTGCCCACCCTGCCCCAGGTGGGCTGTGGCTGCCCCATGTGCAGCTGGTCCCCCTGCTGGCAGCAAATTCCCACAGACACAGCCTGGGGTGCCAGGCAGGGCCAGCTGGACCACTCCAGCCTGGAGTTATAGAGCATAGGATACAGCAGGGCAGCAGGGAAGGGGGCCGGTCCCCCAGAGGGTGCTGAGGAGGGGTGTGGGGCGGCGAGGGCAGAATGTGTCTTGGACTCACGTGCTACACCCAGGTGGGTCCCTGTCTTACCCTGCCTCAGTTTGCCTTCCTACGGAATGGGCGCCGGCGGGCGACTCTGAAGACAGAGGGGCCAGGCGGAGGCTTGGAGCAGGGTGCGTGGCCTCCCTCCGCCTGGCTTTGCAGTGGGCAGCCACCTGCAGGCGGCCCCCCACCAATGCTGCCCTTGGCCATGGCTCCTAGCTCCAGTCCTGCTCACATGGGCTCCGGGAGCCAGGGCCAGCGCTTCTGCCTGTGGGGATGGAGGAGGGGCCCGGGCCAGGTGGGCCATGGGCGCCAGGTCTCGGAAGGTGGCCTGCCCTACCTGCAGGTTCTTTCTCCACACGTTCACTGCCGCAAAGGCCAGCTGCATTTGCTTCCTGCGAGCGTCCTTGTGTCGCTTGTAGGCAATCTCGATGAAGATCAGGAAGATCCCAGCCACGATGCCCCCAGCCACCAGCATGAAGACCCCTGCAGCCAGGACCCAGAGCCTCAGCTGTTGGCTGGAGGGGCTGTGGGGACCCTGGAGAACCCAACCAGTGTCAGCAGGGGCATTAATGGAAGGGGGTGGGGAACCCACCTGCCATGTTCTCGAAGGTGAGAGTAGCAGGAGCATTGCTGCGTGAGTCACACTCCTGGTACCGCACCCACGTCTTGTCCAGGTCTTCCATGAAGCCGTTCTCATGGGACCTGGACAGTCCGTGGTGAGTGAGGGGGTGGTGTCAAGGGGGTCAAGGCCTGGATGGGGCGGGGCGAGGGTTGGGGTGGGGCCTGGGCAGGGCTAGTGAGCAGGACAGGGCCTGTGAATTGGGCGGGGCGAGTGAGCCGGGAGCGGGACCTCGGTGGAGCCTGGCCTAAGAAGAGCGAGTGGATTGGGTGGGAGCGGGTCCTGGGTGGGGCGTGTGAGTGGGGCGGGGCCTGGGCAGGGAGGGGTGGTATCTGCGACGTTGGGGTCATCTGCCTCGGATGGGGAGGCTCTCAAAGAGCAGAGAAGAAGGGCGGTGGTGTGGCAGGTGAGCAGACTCACTTGAGGATGGACAGGGAGACATTCTGCTTCCAGGGGCTGTCCTTGCGCATGCCGATGCCGAAGCCAGAGCGGAAGAACAGCTCGCCCGTAGTCACCAGGTCGCACTTCTGTGAGGCCTCAAACTCCAGCACCGCCGAGTCCCAGATGAAGGCATGCAGTTTGCTGAGGGCAGGGGCAGATGTCAAGGGAGTCCCACCCAATCGGGCTGCCCTTGACCCGCACGCTTGCATTCCTTCATCCTACCATTCAGGAAAACCTCACTTCCATCCCCATCCCGTGGTTCCCATCCAGCCTGGACACTCACTTTTCCTGTAAGGGGAGACGCTCCACCTTGTCCAGCTAGCCCCTCACTCGTCCCGCAGGCCCCGCCCTCGCTCGTCCCGCAGGCCCCGCCCTCACTCGTCCCGCCGGCCCCGCCCTCACTCGTCCCGCAGGCCCCGCCCTCACTTGTCCCGCACAGCCTGGATGGCTTCGGCCGCGCTCTCGTAGTTGTGCTTCTCCATATGCCTGTACATGGTGCTCAGCTCCACCTGCCGCCGGAAGTAGATGTCCACCGAGCTCTGCTTCACCGTCGCGTAGATAAACTTGTCTGAGGGGTTCCTCAGCTGCGGGGTCAGAGGGCGTGGCTCGCAACTACTTCCCGGCCCCACCCGAGGCCGACTCCTGGTGACCTCAGGACCCTCCCCTAACCTGGCCGGGCCTCACCCGCGGGTCGTTGATGCCAGTGATGCGCTCCTCGGGCCGGTCCAGCACCAGGAAGGCTGCCAGGTTGGCTGTGTAGGAGGCCACGATGATCATGGCGAAGCCGGCCCACACCATGCCCAAGATGCGTGCCGAGAAGCTCCGGGGGGCCCCTGCGGGCAGAGGACGGTCAGCTCCCGGCCGATGAGCATGAGCTGACGGGGTGGGGGTGGGCGTGGCGTGGCCTCACCTTCTCCGATGCCTGAGTTGAGCAGGACGCCCCAGGAGAACCACATGGCCGAAGACAGGGTCAGCGCATCCTCTTCCTCCTCCTCACTGTTCACCTTGAACCGGCCGAAGGGGCTGCAGGGTGCAGAGGGCGGGCGGGAGAGGGCGGGCAAGGCAGCCCGCCTCGCCGCTCGCCCGCTCTGCCAGCTTCTCAGGTGGAGGTGTCTGGCCTCCCGGCTGCGCTCACCTGAAGCGGTCCAGCAGGTACAGCATCACGGCCACCACGTGCACCGACAGCCCCACCAGCAGCCACAGCGTGCTCTGGAAGGGCTGCATGAACGAGTCCAGCGTGCTCCGGGGGATCTCCTGCGAGTGGACAGGCCGTCAGCATCGCCTTGGCCCTCCCAGGACGCCACCCACCCCGCCGGGCCCATGCCCACCTTCTTGACCAGAATGGTCAGGCCCTGGTACTTGAAAGGCTTGGAGAATTCGATGTACTGTGCGCGCTCGTTGTTGATGGTCAGCGGCGCCACGATCATGTCCGCTTGCCCGCTGAGCAGCTCGCCCATCATCCCGTTCCACTCCTTCTTATTGCTGTTGTTCACCTGCGGGGTGATACAGCCAGTGGGGACGCGGACACTGTCAGGCCACTCCGCAACAGGCTCCAGCCCCAGCGCGCCTCAGGCGTCACCCTCTCCAGACCCCACCCTAACTTTACAGGCCACGCCCACTCCAGGCTCCGCCCAGCACCAGGCCCCCGCCCACCCAAAGACCCTGCCCCTAGCAAGACCCTGTCCACCCGGACCAGTCCTGTGTGAGCTCCCAGAGATTCCTGCGTACCCGCTCCTGCGTGCCGAACTTGCCATCGGCCACCAGGTGCACCTCATAGGTGAAATTCATGGTCCGCGCCAGCTTGATGAGCAGGTCGATGCAGAAGCCGTAGCAGCACTGAGGCACTGTGTGGCGTGCTGGGGAAAGGGAAGGGGGGGGTGACCGCGGGGCTCCCTGCTGCGCCGCCCCAAGCTTGCGCCCCGCGCCCCAGCCCCCCGTACTCACGGCTGCCCGGCGATGTGTCGTTGGGCCCAGTGCAGATCACTTTCTTGACGGGGTCCCCGTTGACCGTGAACTCCTCCTTGCACGTGCCATCGTTCATCGTGGGCTTGACATACACGAAAGGCTCCTGGTGGATTGTCACGATCTGGCGGGGGGTGGAAAGCAGAGACCCAGCCTGGACCACCCGCCCTCAGCTGCTGGGGCTCTTGACCTCAGCGCCCAGAAGGGGAGCCCACAGCTTCCCCCCTCCAGCAGCTGCCCCTTTCTGGAGCCTCATCCTCCCTGGCCACCAGCCACCGCTGTTGGCATCATCTGTCTGCTGCCCTCAGGAGGGGCCCCAGACTCCCCGGACAGCCCACACCACCTCGGCATTCACAAGGCACACGGCCTGCTGAAACACTGCCCTTTCCTTGGCCACTTGTCCTTCAGCTGTTGGCTCACACATGACTTCTTCCATCAGAGGAGCCTGTTGGAGTGTCCAGTCTGCCCCTGGCACCTTCTCTGACTTCTCAGGGATGAGCAACTCCCTTTCCCAGCCCAGAGCCTGCCTCGTGAGACAGGGGCATGCCACTGACATCCGCTCAGAGCCAGCATGGGACCTGGGGCCCAGGGGTCACCCTCGTCTGATCGCCCAGCCTCCCTGGCAGTGGGTCCTTGTCTGGCCATCCCCCCTTTCTCTCTCCTGATGCCTTCCTCTCTCCCATGCCCTCCTCTTCAATCCAGGGGCTCCTTGGGGCTCATGCTGGGGTTCTCTCTCCTCCCTGTCTTTCAGGGGCCCATAGCCTGGGGGTGTGGAGGACATATCCGGGCAAATGGGCCTGACCCCAGTATGGCATGCTGACAAGGGGTCCTAGTGGAGGTGGTGTTGGAGCCAAGCCTGCTGTGATACAGGATCCGTGTGAGGCGCCCTCTGCTGGGAGTATCTGGAGGGCAGGCATGCGTTGGCAGGCCCCATCCTCAGTTGGAAGGGCAGCATTTTGGCTTTTTTTTTCCCCCCTGGGAGCTTGGGAGGTCCTCAAAGAGCTTATTGGCTTTTAAAACTTTCATCATGTTTTTCTATTAGACAAGCAATATATGTTTGTGCTTTTTAAGGAGCCAGTGAAAAAGTAAAAAGCCATCTGCATCTTGCAGCCTGCATGGAACCAAGCTGTTACTTTCAGACTTTTCAACATATGGTGTCTGAGCTGCAAGGAAAGCTCACTCTGCCTGTCGAGAAGGGTGGTAACAAAAGGCTCCAGGGAGAGGCCATGGGGTGGGCCCAGAATGCAGAGAGGGCCGAGAGACACTTGAGGACCTGGGGACACTGGGAGAGGTTGGTTGGCCAAAAGCGTTTAGGGTCCTTGCTTTTGGTGATCTAAGGTTTGGGCCTGGGCCTGGTGTGGGTCAGCATGGGGACAGACTGTCGGGAGAGCTCCCTGGGAGGAGAGAGGGGGCCAGGAATGAGTCCAAAGGAGCATGGAAGAGTCTCCAGGGAAGAGATGCTGTGAGGGATGAGGCACCAGGGGCCCAGGGTCACCACAGGGAATGCCGCAGCGAGGCCAGGGCTGAAAGGACAGCAGGACCCAGTGATGGCAGCACGTGGTGGCGGCTAGGACCAACTGGAGGAGTGCTAAGGAGCGTGGAGGTGGCATCTCTAAGACGGGGACTCAGGACAGTGCTGAAGCTGGAGTCCACAAAACGCCCCCCCATCTGGCCCTCTGTCCTCCATCAGTGCATCCCTAGGGGAGTCCTGCTCCACTCAGCTTCCCAGGTCTAGGTGGGGTTGGGTCAGGAGGGGCGCTGCAGAGAGCTGTGGGCTGGGGGCCGACAGCTTCCCCTCCTCCCTCCACCTGCTGTGTCTGCTTCCTCTGAGGTGCCAGGTGTGTGTGGAGGCAGCCAGGTGCTGGTCCTGTCCTCACTTCCTTTAGTCACTTTCACTGGCCTCACTGTGACCTCCTCTGGGTCTGAGGACCTGGATGGAGTGTCCTGGGTGTGGTTGCTGGGGCAGGGCGGCGGGCCCCCCACCTTCAGCCTGGTGGACATCTGGTACCCTCGGGGCTTCTCTGTCTCTCCGCCTGGCCAGATGATCTTCCTGTCATTGGGGATGACCTGGGGGTGGGAGTATGAGATGGAGGGTGGCCACGCAGGGGTCTTGGCCCCAGGACCCTAAGGCCCCAGCCCCCACCCCCTCATGACCCCCACCTACGTGGGTGCCATTGTAGATGCCCACTTGCACCAGCTTGCGGTTCTGCAGGTTCATGATGCTGTAGTTGGCGAACTTCCGGTCCCCATCCTCATTGAACTCCACGCGGCCGGTCACCCCGTCCGCGTACTTAGAAGACATCAGCACTCTAGGGAGGGCAGCTCTCATTGACTTCTCAGGGACACTCTCACTCCCTGGCTTCTGGAGCAGCCTGAGGCCCTGCCTCCTGCCCCAGCCCCAGCGGACCTCAGACCCTTGAGCTGTGAGTCTGACAGGTGGCGCACCTGTCTGCCTGCACTGGGCAGCACACCTATGACAACCAAGCAACTGCTGGGTGCCACACTATTTTGAGGGCTTTCTGTGGGTTGGGACGTTGGAGCTTCACAGCAGCTGCCAAGGAGGCAGACGCCCAGGAAGGACCCAGTGGCCGGTTTGCCAGTGAGTGGGGGAGACAGAGTTGAGGCTCTATCTTGCTGTGTGTGCACACATGTGTGTGTATGTGGCATACCGATCGGGCCATATCTGTGTGCACACACAATTCTTGTGTGGCATGCACCCCAATGCATGTACTGTGGCACGTGTGTGTGTCATGCCTCTGAGTCTGTGTGCACATCCTCATGCACATGTACACGCATGCTGCCTACACCTTCAGGTGTGTGTGCTCATGTGATGGGCTCGGTGGACTGGGGCCCTGCACAGGCCACTCAGTCCGGGGTGGGATCTGATGATGGGCGGGGCCTGCCCACCCTGGTGCATGGTGTCCAGGGCGCTTCCAGTTCACTCCTGCCCCACTGCGGCTATCCACCTGGGTTTCTGGCCAACCCTGGCTCTCTACAGGCTGGGATGCCATTTCTGAGCTCCTTGTCTGACCTCCTGGGTCCCTGGAAGAGCCCAGTCCCCACCTGCAGCAGGAGCCTCCTCCCAAGGGCTGTCAGCCACCGTGGGGAGTGGGGTGGGGTTTCAAGGTTGGCTGCAACGCTAAAAGCTAGGAGCAGGAGCAGTGGAGGCAGCGATATTCGAGGCGTTGGTGTGCGTGTTGGAAGCGCGACGGATGATTATCACAGTGGAGGGGAAGTGGGCGGAAAGGAGGGTAGTAGGGTAGATGACTGTATCTGTAGTTTGTGGGCAGTGAGCTGAGCTGGACCACCCGCTGAAGAGCTGCTATTACCATTTCCTAAGAGCCCCGCCCACTTCCTGCAGAACGGCCCCGCCCACTCCTAAAGCGCGGCCCCGCCCACCTCTTGAAGAGCGGCCCCGTCTTCCAGATGTTGGTGTTGCCCACACAGCCCCGCGGCGGATCGGTGATATTCTCCTTCTCCAGGAGCTCGTGCACGGCCTGGGCCACCACGCCCACCGCGTCGCTGATGTGGGCCGACTCGTTCTTGCCGTTGATGAGCTGCAGCCCGATGATGCCTGGGGCGAGCGTTCGCTTAGAGCCCGTGGGGGAACCCCGCCCCCAAGAGGCCCAAGAGGCCCAGCACTCACCGTCCGGGGCGTATCGCAGGGCGTTCCCCGAGATCTCGCGCTCCCCCACCAGCCACACGTACCCCGAGCCAGTCATGTTCAGCATCGCTGCTGCACGGTACACGGTGGCAGCGTCGTCCTCGCTGTGGGGCAGAGGGGGGTGACGGGCCAGGACTCCAGCCCTCCCCCACCCAAGGCTGGCAGGAGGCTGCTCCGGTTCCCAGGTCTTCCTCCTTCCCCACGTCTCCCCCAACCCCTCGCCTAGAGCAAGGCCTGGGAAATACCACAAGCTGATGAGTGCTAGCCCCCACCCCTAGTCCATAGAGGTGACATGGGATGGGTCCCAGACCCCCCAGAGCTTCCCAGGCCTCTCTTGCTGATCCCCTGCTCTTCGCTGGCAGGGTCTGGGTGACGGGGGATGGTGATGGGTCATTATTGATTGATCACTTGGTCACCAGATACCAGGAGCTGTTCTAAGCACTTTACATGGACTATCTTATTTAATTCTTACAATATCCCTATGAGGCAGGCGTTAGTACTATCCCTGTGTTATGAGGGGAAAGTGAGACGCCCCCAGGCACTCGAGTGGTGGTAAGTGGCAGAGTCAGATCTGTGCCTGGACAGCCCACCCCAGAACCTGGACAAGCCACAGCCCCTCTGGTTTTCCATATTCAAGCGTGACATGAAGGTCTGGGAACTCTCCAGGTTGGCCAGATGCTTTTGGGACCCTGCGCCTGGGAATGGCCCTGAGCATCGCAGCAGAAGCCGCTGGAGACACGAGGGCCGCTGCCTGTCCCTCTGGGGTCTGCACCAGCAGCTGTGCTCTGCCTGCCATCCAGGGCCAGGGCCACCGGCAGGACAGAGCATAGGCCTCGCCTTGCAGGCACATATTGCCCTGAGATCTTGGAGTGTCCTCATCCCCGTAGGTGAGCCCTTGTGGACCCAGTCTCCTGGGGCAGGGGCCTCCCTGGTCAGGATGATGACCCTGGGCCTGGTGGGGTTGTGGGGGCTACTGGGGGTTCTCCCTCACTCCCCTCTTCCTTTCCTGCCAGGCTAAACCTGGCCTCAGGTAGACCTGGACCACGACAGGCACTTTGCACGGGCAGCAGGGTGCAAAGGGGTTGGACAGATTGGCTGGTTTATTTTCACAATGGCTGACCCTGGAAACCCAGGTGGCCCTAGGTTGCCTAAGGCTGCCCCTAATTTTCTCAAGGATTAGCCAACAAAGAACTAAACCCCTTCAGTGTTTGCTCTCAAAGACAACGCTACTGTCAGATGTAAGCAACACTAAATAGAGGTGCTCCAGGCAGCGCCACACTGGTGACCCACGTGAGGGCATCCAGCCATGATCACCCAGCAAAACCAACACCATGCATGTCGGGCGCAGTGTGCCCACTGCCAACTGTGCTCACAGAACCTGGCAGAGAAGCCCTTGTGTCTGACGCAGCTCAGGTGTGTGATGTTAGACTTGCTGGAAGGACACACGCCTATGTTTGTATCTGTGTAAATCGATACCATCAGTAAAACGGCTGTAGACAAAAGCCTGATCAGGCTGCTTTATGGAAATAGCTGATCGCAGTAAAGACAATTTCAGAAAGATAAAAAGGAAATGCTTAGAAATGAATTATCTGCACTCGGTAGAGAATTGGTCAAAAATTAAGATTGGCTTAATGGAGTCTCTGCAAAATACATGAAGCAGGAGCCAAAATGTGTCAGGTTGGAGTGCCAGGGCCAAGAAGACCAGTGCCTGCCACTGCCCATGGGACAGGCAAGGACAGCCTTGCCGTCCTGGACTCCTGGAGCTGGGTGTGCTGAGGGGCTGGTCTGCCCTGTTCCATGGGACCATGGGAGCCTGGCCCCTCTGCTCCAAGGAGTCCTGACAGCCCCAGGGCCTTGTCTGGAGTCAAGGTGGGTGCTGGTGATATGTGGTGCCTCGTGGGCAGTGTGTGTGTGTGTGTGATATACATGTATGTAACATGTAGTGTAGTGCATATGTGATGTGTGTGCATGTGCATGAACACACGAGTGCACTGTGGATGTTCGTAGGGAGTATGTGTGCTGTGCATGCACTTGTGTGTAGGTGTGATATGTCTGTGTATAAGTGTGTTTGTGTGTGTGTGGTGTGTATATGGTGTGTATATGTCTATGGGTGTGTATATGTGTATAAGCATGTCCACATGTATAAACGTGTGCACATGTATAAGCATGTGCACACTGTGTGTTCTGTGTATGTGTGAGCGGTGTGAACATGCCGTGTGCCTGGGCACCTGTGTGCACACATGTGCATGTGGTGTGTGCGTGTGGTGTGTATGGTGTACTTGGGTGCGTGTGGTGTGCACGTAATCCCAGAGCATGTCTCTGTGTGTGTCGTGCATGTGCAACTGTCTGTTGTGACCATGTTCCCTTACCTGGGCTGACCTCTTGTTTGGAGCCACATCTGACAAAATTGTCCTTGACCCTGGGGCTAGCAACACAGGGCAAGACCCTCTTGGACCATGTCTGGGGGCTTCATCAGGCCTGCGGCGTGTGGCACACAGCCTCAATGACCCAAGGGGACACAGTGGAGAAGTGCCCACCCTGCTGCTGGAACTGGGAGTGGCTGGGTTCCGAGGCTGGTTTTACATGTGGCTTCCTGGCTCGTGTCCTGGGGGCCCCTCTAATTACAGTGTACCGATTGGGCAGGTCTAGTTGGTGTGACCTGACCCTTTGTCAAAGTGCCCAACAGTTCAACACCTATGCTTTGGGATAATGGGTTCCTTCAATTCTCTGTCCTGGACGAAGGGGCCTTGTGATCGCTCGTCACTGTCTATTCGCCTATCTGTCTACCCATTGGTGCACCCACCCATCCATCCTTTCATCCCATCACATCCTCCCAGTCTCCCTCAAGCCGTAGGGTGAGTGAAATGAAAAGGAGAGGGCCTGGAGGGCTTTCTCTGGGTGGGGCTCCAGGAGAGGTTGTGCAGCACCCTGACCTTGCCTGGGCACCCTTAAACCTATCTTCTTAAGCTCTCCCCACAGTGCCCATGGTTGGATTGTCAGCATGGGCAAGTGACTCGTAGCTCTGAGCCCCAGTGGGGGATTAGTACCTTCTTGTCCCACCTGTGTGGGCAGGGCAGTGGAGCTGCTTCCTGCCTTCTAACACTGCTCTGCTCTGGGAGGAGGGGGAGCATCTGGCTCTGTACTGGAGGTTTGTTGACTGAATGTGCAAGTGGACACCTGCCCTGGGGCTCAGAGTATTGCTGGCTCTTTCTGGCCTGCAGGACAGCAGCATTTGGGGTGTGTTTCTCTGAGCGGAGTGACCCCTGCTGTTTTTCTCCACACTGTTGGAGCCCAGCACAGCTTCTAGAACAGGGAAGACAGCAGGGTGGATCCACCCGGGCACTCCTGCCTATCTCGGGGCGTGAGGTTCTTCCTTTTTCTATTCTGGTGGCCTGGCCTTTCCAGTCTCAGAACTTAGCTGTTTGCAAATAGGGAGATTGTTGGCTGATTCCCACCCAGCTGTAAGGCTGGTTTTCATGAGTCCCTAATTGGTTCCCCACTCCAACAGCCCCATTCCTTCAGTCCTGGGATTCTGGCCCTCTCCCTGCTGTGGGCCTTCCCACCTGGGCTCACCTGGGCTCACTTGCACACCTGCACGTCACTTCTCTGGGCCCTTTCCCCTGACCCTGGCTTCCAGAGCCTTGGCTCACCCCATCAATGGCCAGGACTGTGTTTGCTTTCTTAAGGGCAGCGCTAATCCAATCCCCACCCCCAAAGCCCAGCTCAGGGCAAGTGGCAGCAGGTAACTGAGGAAGGAAAGAAGGAGCCAGGGAGGGATGGACAGGTAAGCATCCTGTATTCCAGGGTGCCAGGTCACCAAGGGCGTTTTGGAAGCTGACGCTCAACTTCAGCCCAACGGTGCCCCCAGCCCTGGTCCAGGAGCAGCCCTGGGTAGGTGGGGGGAGGGGTCCAGCACGGCCTTACCTGGCAGAGAGGATGATGACCCGGGCCTCCAGCTCCCGCGCCTCCATCAGCAGGGCCGTCACGTTCTTGGTCCCCGGATCGAACTGCAGCACCTTCTCAGCCTGTGGTATGAACAGGAGCGTTAGCAGGTGGCCGGGGCAGGGGACATAGTGCCTCAGGGGCGAGAGTTGAGCCGCAGCCACTAGGAACACCGAGGCAGCTCAGCTAGGGCTGCCCCGGCCTGCACCTGCCACCTGTGCTGTCCACCTGCCTTCCTGGCTCCTGGCCTGGCCTGGCCTTGCTTGTCCTTTCTTCAGCCTGCTCGCTCTCCTACACTGCTCTCTGCTCTCAGCATCTCTCTCCACTGTTACTCCTGTTCTCTTTGCACTGAGCATGCAAGCTGAAGTGGGCCGAGACTCAGAAAGAGCGTGCAGCGGACAGGAACTAGAAGAGTTTTGGAATGCAACTGGGAGCAGAGATGGGGCTGACTCTTCCAAAACCATGGGAGAGCCCCTCAGACCCGACTCCACAGGCCCCTGCAGGAACGGCCCAGACCCCAGCAGGCAGGCGGGCGGCTGCACGGGTGGGCTCCCTCCCGGGTTCCACGAGGAAACCCTGGGGGGCCCAGAGGTTCGCATGCACTTCCCGAAGAGCAGCTCCCCCGCGGCCGCAGCCGTGCCTGCCTGTCAGGCACAGGCCAAGGCGGAGGCTGCGGTGGCTGGGCCGTGGGCACCCACGCGGCCCTTGCCTGCCCTGTCCTGCCTGCGGCTGCCTGCCTCACGACCTCTCTCTTCTCACTGCTCAGGCCTGCAGCTCGGCTGGGCCAGAAAGCAGCCCTGGTGGCCGAGGCGCCAGAGGCCACGGCTCCCTAGTCGGTGGGTGGCGTGCACGTCCATGCATATATACCTTGGGTCCGCGCTTGTTGTCATAGGACAGTTGGTCGAGGTTTTCATAGTTCCTTTTTTTACTCTGATGAATAATGTGCACAGAGAAAATATGCAGACACAGAAGAAGATTATAAACGGTTGAAAATGACGGCGCCAAAGCAATCACACCACCTCCTCGGCACGTCTGCAGGTGGGCACGTACCTGGAGCTCGCAAACACCTAGGCCCGGTTGGGGCTGGGGCCGGGGCGGTGCTGGGGGACTAGGGGGCACAGGGACCACTGAGGCTCCTGGCCATGAGACTATGCTCTTGGAAACTGTCACACATGGAAGAAAGGGAGACCCTGTCCGCATCCACACCAAATGTATCCCTTTGGGGCCCCGCCTGCTGCCCCACCCTTGCCATGCAGCTGCTATGTGGTCCCCCGCCTACATCAGTCCTCAATGAGGAGTGAGTGAGCAGCCCCTCGCCACACCTTGCCCCTCTGCCCCTCCTCCTCCCTGAGTTCTCCCTTCGGCCTTTGTAAGAGGTCCGTATATTCTGTTCTCACTAACCGGTGTGCCCATGTGTGCACTGGAGAGTGAGTATGACCGGAGCGGGTGTACATATGTGTGCCCAAGGTGACAGCCGTCTACATGGGAGCAGTGGTACCCGCTGGGGCTCGGTACCATCTGAGCACTCATTTGTGTGTGTGCACTTGCATGTGTGTGAGCTGGTGGGGAGTGTGCCCGTGGGCCATGGGCCTGCATGTGCGAGCCCGGCAGGTCTGTGGGGGGCGTGTCTGAGTCTGCAGCGGGAGGTGTGGAGTGTGAGGAGATGGCATGGTCTTGGGAGTGACTGCATGTGCCTGTAAGAGTGGTCGCTTGTGGTTGGGTGCGCAGGGGTGTGACTGGTGAGCGTGTGAGTGTGCCATGCCTGCCAGGTGCTGGGGGGTGCTAGCTTGGGAGGGGTGGGGCCCCGAAGCACTGGTAGCCAGCCCTCCCTCCCAGCCTCAGCCAATCCCCCACAGCAGGACCCCCCAGGGCCCCCTGGCTTCACCCTCCCCCGCAAGCAGTACCCTCTATTCCCTTCAGGGATCTATGGCGCCTTAGGGCCCTGTGGTTGGCACTAAGCTTGTTGAAGCCAGCTCCGACTTCACAGACAGCATGCTCCCCTCCCCCTTGGCCTGGCCTCCCCAGGCCCTCCCCAGCCTGGCCTCCCTCCCTCTCTGCCCAGCTGGGCCTCCACCCCACCGGGGCTGAGCGCCCGGGCTCTAGGCTGGGTGAAGGCTCACCCTGGACCTGTGGTGAGCACCAGCTCCTTCTCAGGTTGGCAGTGGGGACAGGCAAGGAAGGGGATGGGGGTCACCTGGACCCCCAGAAATCGCCACTCTGGTCTCTCGGCAACCCTACAAAGTGGGGGTGGGGCTGGGGCAGGGTGGTCAGTGTGTCCTAGAGCCAGGCATCTAACTGGTCCCCAGGAGGTGCCCAGCCCTGTGCTGGGAAGTGAGGAGCGGGCAGGCTCAGTAAGTGACGTGGAGGCCTGAGGTGGCAGGTCCCTGCTGGGGGAGGAGGGCAGCTGATGGCCTGGATGGTGAAGGGGTGGGCTGTTGTGAGGTGGAGGGCTGTGGGGAGGTGAGGCCAGCGTGAGGACATGGAATGGGTCACAGCAGGGAGGAGACCGGGTCCTTTGGGAGGGGGCTTGCGGAGGGGTCGCCATTCCTGAAAGGGATGCCCTTGGGGAGGCCACTGGGGACGAGGTGGGGGCGAGAGGGTCGGGTCGGGCAGGGCTCTGCGGACCGGTGAGAAGGGGTGGGATGGGCGGGGCGGGGTGTTTGCGGAGCTCCAGGTGGTCCTGCCCTCGCCCCGCAGGGACTGACTGACACGAAGGAGATTTCGACTAATGGCAGAAGCAAGTGAAATGAGCCGAGGACAGGCTGGGGCGGGCGCTCGCCAGACGTGGTGGTGCTGACCATGCATGATGGAGAGAGAAGGTGTTCACACACGGCCACAGACACAGCGCAGGCCGCCGCTGCGCGCCTCCTGCTGCGCGAGGCGCCCGCCGCCGCCCGGGCCTCACCTTGGACTCGCGCTCCTCCAGCAGCGTCTCCAGGCGCTTCTGCGCCGCGCGGCCCTCGTGGTCGTCGCTGACCAGGAGGATGATGTGGTTCCAGCTGTAGACGCGCATCATCTCGAACCAGACGCTCGACTGGTGGGAGTAGGGCGGCACCGTGCGCAGGAAGCTGAGGTGGATGCTCTGCGGAAGCGGGGTCGTAAGGGGGGCGCCCGGCGCGTCCCTCCCCCCGCCTCATTGCCTCTGAGAAACGGAGACCCCGTGTCGGCCCGCAGTGCTCTGGCCCACACGTCAGGTCTGTGGAGTTTTCCTGGGTGGGCTCCCACCTCCCAGCACCCACTCCCTGCCAGACAACTTGGGCTCAGAAAGTTCTCGCTGACATGCGGCACCTCAAAGACGCCGTCCCCCCATCCCCACCCCAGGGCTTCACAAGGTCCTTCCCAAAGACGAGTGTTTGTCAGAAAGCCCTCACGCCTGGACCTGCATATTTCATCTCTTCGCCAAGGCTAGAGGCTGCGACTGCTGGTCCTGCCTTGACACTAACTGCCAGGCAGGGAGAGGGAGGAAAAGGAGCGGCCTCCGCCCCCCTCAGCCGAGGTCCCGGCAGCGCAGTGTGTCCCCAGAGCGTCTCTGCTGACCCGCTCTGATCTCGTGGCCCTCTGAGACCTCCAGATGATTTTTCACCTGCTCCCTCTCTGTGGCCTGGGGGCAGTGCCGTGGAACCAGAGTGCAAGAATGCCCCTCGGCCTCTGTCCACCAGCACCTAGCTATATGGCTGCAAGGGGGTTGTAGCTGGGGTCTCGGGTTAGCTCGGACCCAGGCCTCCCTGGTCCCTGTGTTGGGCACAGATTGGCGATAGGTCGGCACCATGAGTGGGGTCAGGATGGAGCTGTGAGGTTTGGTCATTAGGTTTGCCCTCATGCTGGACCAGAGAGCTGAGCCACCATCTGGGGACTCGGTGATGGGCTGGGGTCCTGCCCTGAGAGGTAGCCCCTCCTCCCAGCCTCACATGTGCTCCCCGGGCTGCCTTCCTCAGCAGAAACGTGTTTCTCCTCCTTGCATCTGAGGAGACTGGTGCCCAGAGCCGTGAAGGAGGCAGTGGCTGGAGGGCACAGGAAGGAGTCCCGCATTTCCCCACCGTCAAAGGGACCTCTGCTGCTTTCCAGGGCTTGCTATTAGTGCCTGTCACCTCTCAGTGGGCCGTCAGCCCGAGTGCATGTGTGTGACAGTGGGTGGGGGGGACGTGTGTAAGTGAGTGTGTGGGAGGCGAATGTGTTAGTGTTATGTGAGTGTGGATGTAAGAGTGTGTGATGGTGTGAGTGTGCGTGGGAATGTGGACATGTGTGTTCATGTGAGTGTTCATGTGAGTGTGTGTACGTGTGTGGGTGTGTGCAGGTGTGAGTGTATGGATTTTTTTGTATCTGTGAGTGTGTGTATTGTGTATGTGCATGAGTGTGTGTGTGTGTCTGTGAGACTATGAGTGTGTGGGTGTGAATGAGCGTGTATAACTCAGTGCTGTGTGCCACCCCGTGCTCCTTGAGCCCAGAGCCTATGGTCTGAGCGCCTGTCTGCCCCCTTCCCCCAGACAATCTGATGGCCCCGGACTGCAAGATGGTGGGTCTGAGCGTAGGCAGAGCCTGCCAAGCATTCGGGCTTACCTTGTCAGAGTAGATGGACATGCGGGTGGTCAGCCCCAGGACGGGGATGCGGTAGAAGCCGGCTGTGTAGGAGACGGGGGTGGGGGTGAAGTGGTCATTGGGGGTGGGTGGGTGGCTGACTAGGATGGCGTAGACCTGTGGACAAGGGGACAGGGTCAGTTTGAGTGGAGGCTGGACACTGCAGGAGCTGCTGTCCAGGAGCAGCAGAGGCCGAACTCAGCAGACCAGGGGTGTGTGTACAGAGGGCACCATTCATGCACACACAGTTATGGGGTACACACCCACAAGGCAGGGGGACAAGACCCCATAACCACCCTCTGCATGTAAGACTCTGAGTATAAACAAATTGTAGGGTCAGTCAGAGGCACAGCAAGACTCTGGAGGCTGAGGACACACAGGAGCTGAGGACACACAGGGAGGCCTTTCCTCAGGCCTCCTTCCCCTGTAGGGGCTGCCTGAGGTGTGTGGCGAAGCCCTGACAGGGAGGGCCAAGGCCTGTCCCCTGGCCATTCAAGTTGCCTCCAGGGTTGAGGAGAAGGCTGCTCCTGAATCAAGCTGACAGCCACACCCAGACTGCCTACTGCCCGTCTTCCTGGGTCAGAGGTGGGTAGACTGGTATTCCAGAGGGGTGGGCAGCTCCAGAGGGGCTGCATCAAATGTCACAGACCCAGCTGGCAGAGGACTGACCAGGCAAGGAGCTACCTAGAGGCCTCATCCCCTTTACTGGAGTCTTCCAGGGGCCGGCTGGGCTCGGCTCAGTTTGAACAGGACCCAGTGCTGATGGTGAGTGCTGACCACACCCCCAAGGAAAGGAAGGCAGGTGCTGGGGACAGCCAGGCCCTCCTGCCTGGACCAAGCCCCTGGGGGCAGGCTTGAAGCCAGTGGCTCAGCACCACCTCGCTGGGCAGGGGGCAGACAGCTGGGCAGTTCTACACTCTTCTTACATTAGAAGGACCTGCATCTGGGCCACGGGGTCCACCTGCTCCTCCAAATGGAGGGGGCGTCGTGTACTGGCCCCACACGGCGGGGGTGATGGCTGCCATGCTGGCACAGGCCTGGCCCACAGGGTGTGCTCAGTGAGTGACAGCTGCTGCTGTCACCTTCGCTCCTGGGACTGGCATTTCTCTGGGGAGACAGCGCCCACAGACAGCAAAACTGTGAGTGAGTTGGAAGAGGGATCCCCAGAAAGAGCCCTACCTGAACTTCCTGGCTCTACTCCTTCATGTCCCTCCCCACTCCAGATGGAACAGGTAACTGAAGCCACTGGCCACAGGACATAACTAACCCCTGTGGGCTGGGGCCTGGCAGTGGCTCATGTGGTGAAGGGGGTTTCGGAGCAAAGCTCTGGCCTGGCTCCTGTCACTGGGCCATTTCGACTGGTCTGCCCGCCCCTGGCCCTCCCCTCCAGCCTGCACCCAAAGGTGCCTGGTGAGTGTTTGCATGAGTGTGTGTGTGTGCATGTGACATGAGGTTCATGAATGTGTGCTGGGACACACATATGCACTGTGTGTCCCGACATGTCTGTATCTGTAAGCATTTTTGCATGCGTGACTGAACCCAGCGTGTGTGAGCACATGTACCTGTGCACCTTTGTATGCCAGGCAGTGTGTGTGTCTACTAATGTGCATGGAGGGACGGTGTGCGTGTGAGTGAGCGTGTGCCACTGATCGTGCAGTGCTGGTGTGCATGAGTGTGTGCTAGTGTAAGCCTGTGCCTCTGTGCACAGACAGGGATGTACATGGGAGCACGTGTCTGTCAGGTGAGCAGGGAGCTACTCCCAGCAGCCGTTCTGCCTCTTACATAAAGAGCTGCAGTGCAGTGATCCTGCGTCTTCATTGGAATTCAGCAGGCAGAGCAGCCCAGAGACAACTCCCCAGGCAAATCCGGGAGTCCTGTCCTCCCCAGCAGCCAGCAGTGCACTGGCTGCTAGCAGCCCCCATGCTGTGCCCTGCCACCTCCCACACGTGCAGTCCCCACTTCTCCCCTACAGCACACCCTGCTCCAACACCTGGCCCACCTCCCATCTCAGGCAGACCTGTGGCTGGGGAAGGGGAAGGAGAAAGGGGGGCTCTAGAAGCGGAAACCAAGGTGGCCCCAGGTCCCATCCTGTTTAAAGCCCTGCCTGCTGTGACCTCTGCCTTTCAGCTGGGGTGCCCCCACCCCCACACACTGCCAAATGCCTGCCACATGTCTGCACACACTGGTCAGGGCCTCAAGCCCTGGAACCCTTCTGAGAACTGACCACACTGGCAGGTGACCAGTCTGGAGGCCAAGATGGGACTCTGGCCCCTAGAGATACCAGCCCTATCCAGACTGAGCCAGCTGATATGGGTGTCCTCTCTTAAGGGGAGGGACAGGGCTAAGAAAGACGGATGAAACTAGGACAGCAGGAGGGATGGAGGGTGAGGGAGAGACGACGGTGGGAAGGTGGTGGGGGGAGGGGTAAGAGCTGGCGCAGTGACAGCCCTGGGAGTGGGGGCGGGCACCTGGCTGGAGATGAGGTCCTCGCACACCGACAGGGCC